GTGTGTATGTGTGTATGTGTGTATGTGTGTATGTGTATTTCAGCTACCAATATGGTGAGGGAGGAAGTTACCAACGATGCGCACAACTTTACCATCTGCTCCTCAAATTCATTGACGTTGTTGGATGAGAGGTTTTTGTTGGAATGGACAACGAAACCGTCCATTCATTCATTCATTCATTCATTCAGCCAATCAACCATTCCAAGGTCTTCTTTACAACCCTTAACAGTACTTTTACAATAATCGTAAGCCTTAATTTAGGCTTGCATTTTTAAGAGATAAAAAAAGGCAAACAGGGATGCATCATATTGGAGATCTCTCTTTATGACTCATACAGATGGATAAATCGAGTGACTACCATATCTGTCTGCTCTAGTGGATATCGATTGAAGAGAGTGAATGCTAAGGCTTGTTCTTTCTCCGATCGATTGACCGTTTCATTTCCATATTATTTGCTATCATTAGCATTCCTTTTATATCAGATATTGAGTGTAATGATTTCTTATTACAGATATTTTTTATAATTTCAATTTTTCCATACATCTTCAAGAGATTCATAGTAACAGAGCTTTAATGTTTGTTGGAATGTGAATTAAGATTGTAACGAAATCGATCACCTATTTGAATCTCGAAGAAAGTGGCAGATGGACATGACTGTACAGTAAATGGATCAATCATCGATAATAATTTTCAAACGACATTGATAGGCGAGAAATTTCTACGTAAATTTTACAAAAATAAATATCATATAGATTGTTTGTCCTGAAAGCGTAAACTATATCATGTCAGAATTTTTAATTCTAATGAATCTTAAATTAAAAATATGAAAATGAATGATATCATTCCTAACGATTACTACAATTATTGCTTCAATGAGAATAATTTTGAAATATAATAAAATGAATGTTTGTAATTTTTGAACAAATCTATTTGAAATTCAACGAGAAACAAACAATTTAAAGGCGCTTAGTCGCATTTCATTCAAATAATGCATTTAGAGCAAACTTGCTAATAAAATCTGCTTCTCGTCGTAATTCTGATTCCACTAAATGAGCTAAATTTTTGAATGACTCACTACTCATTACTTTCTTCGATGATTCATACTTCCCACTTTCTCTCGGGGTATCATTGTCAACTCTCTCTCTCTCTTCTCTCTCTCTCCCTCCGCTCTTCCGTCCCTTCCCTTCCTCCC